ATTAAAGAACTCTAGAATAATTTTATCCATGATATAGGTAAGGGTTTCTTAAACAAAACATAGCCACAATTAAAAGGGAAAGGGTTAATAAATTGGACTACATTGAAATTAAGAATTTCAGTTCAGCAAAAGAAATGCAGAAAAGTAAAAAAGCCAAACCACAGACAGAGTGGAAGAGAATATTTGCAACTCATAATCATCACAGTGCTCAGAATACATGAAGAACTCCTACAAATCAATAAGTTGAAGCAAAAGATAGGCACTTCATGAAAACAAAATGCAAATGGTTAACAAACATAAAAAGTTAACTAAACTCAGTAATCAGGAAATACAAATTGAAACCACTGTGAGGTATTATTACATAACCATTGAATTAAAAAGTCTGACAATACTAAATTTAAGTGAGACTATAGGGCAATAGAAATGCTCTTAGAGTGATGAATGGCACATAAACTGGTACAGCCACACTTTGGAAAACAGTATGATATGACCAAATGGGTGATTTTAATCATTTGTTTAATTGTGCCTATGAGTTTTATGTGCTTTTCTAGATTTGTCATATTTCATAATTTTTTAAACAGTTAAAAAATAGTAAATAAGCTCTTACTTTGATCTGAATGGAAACCAAATTTAAAAAAATAATGTTTGGCTCATGGAATATATTTTAAAGGGGAAACAAGGTGCTTGTTTTTACTAAAATATTACTGTTACTATTGTCAAGAACTTTAAAAGATTGTGGAACTGCTATGGCTTGATGGGGAAGACTTTATTCCATGGACTTCACCAGGCTGGAATACTGGAGTGGGTAGCCTTTCCCTTCTCCAGGGGATCTTCCTGACCTAGGGATCAAACCAGTGTCTCCTGCATTGCAGGTGAATTCGTTACCAACTGAGCTATCAAGGAAGCCCATAAGTTGCAAGAACTTTAAATGATCTGTGAAACTGCTATGGCTTGATGGGAAAAACTTTATAGGGATCTAAGCACTATGAAATCAAGAATCTAGTTCATTACTATGAAGAATTTATTAAGAAAAATTTATTTGACTAGGAAGTTTGTATGGATTTTCTCTTTTTCCTAAGAGGATTACCCAAAAATGTATTTCTTAAAAGTTATTATCACTGTTGGACAGAAGTATACAGATGATAAGACTGGACCTCTGCAAGTTTCAAAAATAGTTCAATTTTTAATTGGAATTTGACAGGTATGAGAAAATATTGTGTTAAAGAACTCAATAAGGTCAATACTAATTATTGTTCCAGGTTTTCACTGTCAACAAGTGATGGCCTAAAGAACCTTCCACATAGAAAATGCCCTGATACTTCTCCAAATAAGTCTTACATTAATCTAAAGAATATAATGATTACCCACTGGAACTCACATGAAACACCTTTAAAAATGATTTGTTTTCAGAAATTTCATTTACATGTTTAGGATTGGATAAAATCTCATCCAAATCTTATCCAAATCTTTTTTTTCTCATTTATTTTTATTAGTTGGAGGCTAATTACTTTACAACATTGCAGTGGTTTTTGTCATACACTGAAATTATCCAAATCTTAAAGTCAGAGGATGAGATGGTTGGATGGTATCACTGACTCAATGGACATGAGTTTGAGTAAGTTCCAGGAGTTGGTGATGGACAGGGAGGCCTGGCATGCTGCAGTCCATGGGGTCACAAAGAGTTGGAGATGCCTGAGTGACTGAGCTGAACTGAATCACTGCAAGCAAAATGGTGGCTCAGTGGTAAAGAATCTGTCTGCAATGCAAGAAACATGGGTTTGATCTCTGGTCCAGGTAGATGCCCTGGAGAAGAAAATGGTAACCTACTACAGCATTCTTACCTGGGAAATCCCATGGACAGAAGAGCCTGGAAGGCTGTAGTCCATTGGTTTGCAAAAGATTCAGACATGACATAGCAACTAAACAACAACAGCAAGATTCACTTCTGGATACTAAAATTAGTATATGCAGTAGTTTGAGAAGAAACAGAATGATTTCCTAGTCTCAAAACATCCTCCCCAGGACTTTTATTAGTTATAAAGGGCAAGATAGTAACTTCATAGTAGTTTAATTCAGCAGATATCACTTGATGAAGTGACCAAGGTTAACATCACCAGAAATAAGACATGTTTATGTAATGTATCCTTTGATATGGTTTCTATTTCTGTTAAGACAAAGTGGTTTTAAAAAGAAAGAAAATTTTAAGCAAGTTTCTCTCTAATAGTTTTCTTCTCTTTCACATTTCGTGTTTTTTTTTTTAAGTCATTAAGCTAAGGATATTTAGTAGATACCAATTGCAAGAAAATACAAAGGTATTTAACTTTCATAGTTATCCACTGGGATTATGGGTCAATAAAGAAAAGAAGACTATTCTGGTGGTTTTTTTTAGCATCCAAATATCAGTAAAATTAATAGAAATATAACAGTAATACAATTTGAAAATCATTGTATTTGTAGGAAGGAAGGAAATATTTACATTTCCTTTTGATAAAAAGAGAATTCTCATGGTATTGCCAACTACAAATTGGCACTTGCCATCTACCTCTACAAGCATTAAATCATGTGCTACTGCTGGCTTTCAACATCCCCTGAAAGGAAATCAAGGTGGAGAGCAGAAATGAGGCACTCTGTGCTCTGGGAAAATAGGCAGAACAGGTCTTCAGATAGATATTTTCAGGAACCAATTTTTTTATCCCAATTCTTATATCTCTGCATATCTAGAAAAGCATTGAAATGCTTTTAGTGGTGACGACTGCTCCTCTTGACTAGTAACTTTCATGAGATTAGCAAGAAACCTGCAAAAAATATGTGCTTGATTGCATGGGTTCCTCTTTCACCAAAATCACCTATGTGCTGAACCCCGACCCAGCAGTTTCTCAGAGCTACCTTAAATGCTGTTTCCTGGACCATAGTCCTTATTTTTCCCCAAATAAAACTTACCTTGCCACACTTATGCTGTGCGTTTTTTAAAAGTCAGTCATATCTTGACCAAGCTACCTTCAAACCCATTTCCAGAAACTCAGGTAATATCAGATTTATGTCCAAAAGCATAAAAAAGTTGCAAACATAAGAAGAAAACAGAGAATTCAGTTTCTTTCAAGTATCCATAAAATATACATGAACATTGATAATCTATCAAGCCAGTGAGAAAATGTCAATTTCAAAAGTAGAAGTGTTATATGTTCCAATTACAACACAATAAAGCTAGAAATTAATTACCAGATCAGGAAAAAAGTTTCTTTGCCCTGGAGATTTATTGCAATGTATTTTAAATAATGACTTGAATCAAAGGGAAAACATCAAAACATCAACCAAAGTTGGACCTTTGAGATGGATTTAAAGAATAGGGGCAGTCTCTAGCCTCTGTGGTATCATTGTGTGGGTTAGAAAAGTGTTTCCTTCTTCAAGTAAAAAAAAAAAAAAAAAGAAAGACCAACCCAGCTGCATCTGTGGATAGTTATAAGGTGATGGTCCTGAGCCCACCAAGGTGGAGGATGAGCTTGACACTCACGAAAACTAAGGCAAAGTGAGTTGGGAGCTGTGAAAGAAAGGGGGCAAAAAAAAAACAAAAACAAAAACAAAACCTGCTAAATAATGAGTTTTCCCTTAAGAATGGAGGCAAACTTCTAGTTAGTAAAGTGCCTAATAGCAAGATATTGAAGGCCAAGAAAAAAGTCTCACTTGAGGAACATTTTCTTTGACTGAACTTAATATGCTCAAGGCCCTGACTCCTAAGGACAGAGACAAGAGTGCACTTGGTTTGAAAGTGAAAGTTGATCAGTTGTGTGTCTGACTCTGCTGTTTGTGACCCCATGCAGTGTGGCCTGCCAGGCTCCTCTGTCCATGGAATTCTCCAGGCCAGAATACTGGATTGGGTTACTGTTCCCTTCTCCAAGGGATCTTCCCAAACCAGGGATCGAACTCAGGTCTCCCACATTGCAGGAGGATTCTTTTCCAGCTGAGCTACCAGGGAAGTCTGCACTTGGTTTAATACTCAATTGCTTTTCTATAAGCCACTACAGGATTTAACTGTTTCAAAACTTTAGGTAAATTATGCCATTTTTAAAAAGTTCTTGTAAAAAGTAATTAAAGTTCTATAACACCTGCTGTAAATGATTCAGAAGCAAACTTACTAAGCTTGTCTTAAAGGATGCCTGCATTCAAAGCCAAGAAATTCTCAGTTTGTAATTGTATTGTTAAAAACCATTCAGATATTCTCTGATTAGAGTAGAATATTTTTTAATTGAGCTATTTCTAACATTATTTCCCTAAAATCACAGAAAGACTGAAGCATTTTTTGTGTGTTCTATTTTGTAAGGATTACTTTCTTTTGCAGAAGCACCTCTCCTAGAAGCAGAACAATAAGGGCTCCAGGTGCTATGAAAGAATAGGTACCCTCACAGGGACAACTTCTCTCAGCCATGCACTTAAGTGGTACAAAAACATACCACAGTTGAAAACAGGTGGGGATAAGGGGAAAGTCAATGAATATAATGAATACAAAAGTCACTGAATGAGATGAATAAAATACTCCCCCCCACCCCCCAAAAAAAGTAAGGAAGGGAAAGACTGGTGTAGAGATCTTTCTGGAGTGGGGAGTAGCTCTAGGTTGGTCTTGAGTCACCAGGTGGGAGTTTAAGAAGCTTCTTTTGTGACCCAAAGGAGATAGAATCTAGAGACAGGCCACAATGGTGCAGTGACAGAATAAAGACCTGGTTGCTAGGGTCAGAGAATAAACAGCAGAAGCCTGGAAGAGGAGAAATGGAGCCCTAGCTCCTCGTCCCCTTCCCCACCCTCCTTCCTCTTAGGTTGTGTGAGATGTTACCTTTCACCTAAACATCATCTTCCTGACTTCAGACCTTAACTCTGGGCTCTGAGTTCTGCTTAGTTCCACATTTTCTACCCATTTGCACAGAGGACCACCACCTCTCCTTCCTGGAATTGGTAAGGTTTTCTACTTCACTTATGACCTGGTCATCAGCCCTACTAATTCAGCTGAGATGGAAGTGCCCACCTCCTCCAAAGCACTTAAGCCTCCTGATCTCAGTGAAGAGTCTTTGGACCCGAGGATTATGATTTCCTTATTTGAAATTGGATCACTTCCCCCAGTTTCTTGCAGTTCTCTCCCTTCCCTAAAAAGTAGTGACCATGAAGCAATTGAACAGCGAATTGCAAAGAAGTTTGAAAGCCTCTTAAAAGAAATTAAAGATATTGTTAAAGATATGACAAGGTATGAACAGAAGGTCACAGAAACAAAAGAATCTTTTAAGGAAACCAATATGTCTGAGGTGTCAGAACTTAGAGAAAAAATCATAGAACTTGATGAAATAAATAAAGAACTAGTAAAAAAACTGCTTGCTACTTTGGACCTGGGGAAAAAAGAGAATGCAAAGAAACAGGAGATGAGGTTGGACAACCAGAACTCTGAGGACACAGTGCAAGACTGTTCAAGGGACTGGGTAAATTGTTCAAAAAGACAAAAAGCCCTTTCTGAAACTCAGCTAAGTAAGGAAAAAACAAAGCATGGATTCCCTCACATTCAAGAAGAAAATATCAGACTGAGGAACAACATGGAGCAGTTACTACAGGAAACAGAACACTGGAGTGTGGAACATACTGAGCTTAGCAAACTAATAAAATCCTATCAGAAATCTCAGAATGACATCAAAACTCTTAAAAATAATGGCACCCATTCCCCAAGTCAAACAAATAATGAGTCAGCTAAGCAAGAGCTGGAGGAACAAGTGAGGAGACTGAAACAAGACACATATTCATTGCATTTGATTGCAACCTTGCTGGAGAATGAATGCCAAATCTTAGAGCAGAGAGTAGAACTGCTTAATGAACTCCATTATCTGAAGGAGGAACCTCTACAAGAGGATGCAATGCAAATGCAAATAAACCATGAGCAGAACAACAAGGAACAGAAGCTACCAGAGGCAGAGAAGTTCAAAATACATGAGCAAAACATGCCAGAAGTGGAAGGTACATCTCACAAAAGAGATCAGTTCTTTAGAAGCCTGGATATTTGCTATAATAAGAAAGCTCATAATAACCAGTTGAATACCTGTATTGCAAAAAGAGCTCTTGTGGTAAAGAGGCCAGCTAGCAGCTTAAGTTAAAAAATACCAAAAGTAGAAGAAAAGGCAGATCATCAAAAAACTAGATAGTACATCCAGCTCCAGGCATATCAGTCATCAAACCTAAGAGACACCTGTTTGTTCAACCAAGAAATAGTCATAGTACAAGAAGATTAACATTTAACATTATTAATTACCTTTATGGTTAGGTAAGTTTGGTCTTTAATGACCATCAATGTCAACTTTTGCTCACATTAAGCCATCTTTACAAACTGGTTTTGTAGTTATTACATAGAGATCTATGACACTTTAACCAAAAGTGAGAATTTACAGGTCCAAATAAGTAAAGATCTAAATAAAAACCACAACAAACAAAGGATGGGATTCTTTTTTCTTTATTTAATCATTGCCTTGGTGAGGGAAGTTCTGGGGGGAAAAGTATATAACACTTTAATTGTGACCCTTTCAAACTTCCTTTCTTTTTATTTTATTTTATTATTATTATTATTAGTTGGAGGCTAATTACTTTACATCATTGCAGTGGTTTTTGTCATACATTGAAATGAACTAGCCATGGATTTACATGTATTCCCCATCCCGGTCCCCCCTCCCACCTCCCTCTCCACCCGATCCCTCTGGGTCTTCCCAGTGCACCAGGCCTGAGCACTTGTCTCATGCACCCAACCTGGGCTGGTGATCTGTTTCACCCTAGATAATATACATGTTTCGATGCTGTTCTCTTGAAACATCCCACCCTCGCCTTCTCCCAGAGTCCACAAGTCTGCAAAAGCATATTCCTTTTCCTATTTATTATCCACTGAAGTGTGGGCTGTAGTGGAGTTAAGAAAAGCTGATAAATCACTCCTAAATAGCTTTTCTCTTCTCAAAAATCTCCCTATTCCTTGGATCTACTGTTACTAATATTCCCTTCTTGCTCCTCAACTAGTAAATGGTGGGCATACCAGGCAGAAGAGACCCTTGGGTAAGAACACCTTGGCTTCTTTAGAAGAATAGATGTGTCTCAAGATTTTGTTCTGTGCTGGAAAAATTCCGTTACTCCAGGTGAGGATAATTATTCAGAATTACTCAGGGAAAAAAGCATTATCATCTGTTAAGATGGCTGAACTTTTGGTTCCAGGAAAGATGGAGCAGAATCACTTCTCCCTGTTCTTCCCATTAAGCAAGCTAAAAACCCTGAACATTAAGCATTAATATAAAATGAATGCAAGAAGACTCTGAAAGGTTGAGAAAAGGAGGTGTGATGGTCAGGGTCCCCGAGACTTAATGTTTTGTTTCCTGAGTTTTCTTTCATCTCTTATATATGCTGGGAGATGATAACCCAGAAATGCCAACACATTTACACACAAAAAGCAGGCACCACCCCCTCACCCCCCAACCCAGGCCTGCTTTCTCTTGACAGAGGATGAGAAAACAGTCTGGCAAGAAATAAACTTTTTTAAAAATTGCCCTACTCCGGCCAAACTGCATAAAATTGTCATGCTTCCACTCTCATCCTCATCAAATACTGAGCAAAAAACACTAGGCTTTCACTCTTGCCTGGCAGTAATGAAGCACTCTTCCTTCTTTCTTCTGGGGTGGTACATACAGAGGTGGCAGAGAAGAAACCTGGGAGTTTCTCTCCCACCTGATGGTAACAACTTGCTCCTCCCTCAGCCCTTTTCCCAGCAAAATAAAATGCCAGTGAAGGCCATATGGATAGCCTAGATTTCTATACTCTGCCCCTGTTTTAAACATAAAACAGGAGGTTTAAGTAGGATCCATGGTCTCAGAACACAATGCCCCAAATATCCAGAAAAGATAGAAAAATAACTCACTCATTATACAAAGAGAAAATTGCAGCTTGAATGAGAGAAGACGATTAACAAGCGCCAACGATGGTATGACACGGATGTTGGAATCATCTAACAAGAAGTGTAAAGCAGTCACAAAAATGCTTCACTGAGCAATTGCAAGTGCTCTTCAAAAAACAAAAATAATAGAAAGTCTCAGCAAGTAATCAGAAAATATAAAGAAGAAACAAATGGAAATTATAGAAATAAAAAATATAATATGTAAAATAAACTCAATGAATGTGCTCAATAATAGAATGTTGATGTCAGAGGAAAGATTCCATGAACATGAAGACAGAAAAATAGAAAGGACCCATTCTGACCAGCAAGAAAAATAGGCTGAAAAAACTCCCATAGTCTCAAGAAGCTTGAAATAAAAACTGTCTAACATTGGTGTTATTAGAGTACTCCAAAAAAGGTAGAATGTGGGCTGAAAAGTATTCACTGAAAAAAAAAATGGCTGAAAATTCTACAAATTAATGAAAGGCATAAACCTATAGATTCAAGAACATGAGAGAACTCTAAACAGTATAATTCAAACACATTTAAGGCACTCATAATCAAATTTCTGAAGCCTAAAGACAAAGTAAAAAAGCAGGTACAAAGAACAATGGCGGAACAATGATCCAAATGACAGTGACTTTCTAATCAGAAACCTCCAAGGCTAGAAGGAAACAACTATTTTTCAAGAACTGAAAGAAACATCAACCCAGAATTGTTTACCCAGTGAAAACAGCCTTTAGGAATGAAAGTGAAATCAATATATTCTCAGAGGAAAACTGAGAGGATTTGTCACTATTTGTTGAGAAAGTCCATTTGGTTATACATCTAATTCTCATTTTTTACATTCAAGAAAATGAGTGTTCTCTTTAGCCTCAGGCTTTGTCTTATTCTATTCCCAAAGAGTAATTTCACATCAGTTCAGTTCAGTCACTCAGTCGTGTCTGACTTTTTGCGACCCCATGGACTGCAGCAGTCCAGGCTTCCCTGTCCATTACCAATTCCCGGAGCTTACTCAAACTCACGCCCATGGAGTTGGTGATGCCATCCAACCATCTCATCCTCTGTTGTTCCCTTCTCTTCCTGCCCTCAGTCTTTCCAAACATCAGGGTCTTTTCCAATAAATCAGTTCTTTGCATCAGATGGCCAAAGTATTGGACTTTCAGCCTCAGCATCAGTCTTTCCAATGAACATTCAGGACTGATTTCCTTTATGATTGACTGGTTTGATCTCCTTGCAGTCCAAGAGACTCTCAAGAGTCTTCTGCAACACCACAGTTCAAAAGCATCAGTTCTTCAGTGCTCAACTTTCTTTATAGTCCAACTCGCAGATCCATACATGACTACTGGAAAAACCATAGCTTTGACTAGATGAACATTTGTTGGCAAAGTAATGCCTCTGCTTTTTAATATGCTGTCTAGGTTTGTCATAACTTTTCTTCGAAGGAGCAAGTGTCTATTAATTTCATGGCTGCAGTCACCATTTGTAGTGATTTTGGAGCCCAAAAAGGAGCCTCTCACTGTTTCCGTTGTTTCCCCATCTACTTGCCATGAAGTAATGGGACCAAATGCCATTCACATAGGAGATGCTAAATGGATGAAATGAGAAACTACAACGTAGCTGAATCAAACAATCGCTTCTTACACTTCAGCTTGTTCATAAGCATTACCTGAACAAATTGTCAATATCATTTGTTTGTTTGTCAGATGTTAAGAGAATAACTTTCTAGTTCTTTATACAGGCATTGAAACTCCCCTGGTACCACAACAAATAGGCTAACTACAGGATTTTCAAATTTTTGAGGGAAACACTGCAATATGCAACATTTGTCTCACACAGCACAAACTCCAGGTAGTCAGAGTGTCAACTTTAGATTTTATGTAGCACCATTGCTGTTGTTGCCAAAGATGGAGAAGCTCTATACAGTCAGCAAAAACAAGACTGGGAGCTGACTGTGGCTCAGATCATGAACTCCTTATTGCCAAATTCAGACTGAAATGGAAGAAAGTAGAGAAAACCACTAGACCATTCAGGTATGACCTAAATCAAATCCCTTATGACTATACAGTGGAAGTGAAAATTAGATTTAAGGTACTAGATCTGATAGACAGAGTGCCTGATGAACTATGGATGGAGGTCCATGACATTGTACAGGAGACAGGAATCAAGACCATCCCCAAGAAAAAGAAATGCAAAAAAGCAAGATGGCTGTCTGAGGAGGCCTTACAAATAGCTGTGAAAAGAAGGGAAGAGAAGAGCAAAGGAGAATAGGAAAGATATACCCATTTGAATGCAGAGTTCCAAAGAGTAGCAAGGAGAGATAAGAAAGCCTTCCTCACAAGACAAGGGTGCCCACTCTCACCACTACTATTCAACATAGTTTTGGAAGTTTTGGCCACAGCAATCAGAGCAGAAAAAGAAGTAAAAGGAATCCAGATAGGAAAAGAAGAAGTGAAACTCTCGCTGTTTGCAGATGACATGATCCTCTACATAGAAAATCCTAAAGACTCTACCAGAAAATTACTAGAGATAATCAACAAATACAGTAAAGTTGCAGGATATAAAATTAACACACAGAAATCTCTTGCATTCCTATACACTAACAATGAGAAAACAGAAAGAGAAATTAAGGAAACAATACCATTCACCATTGCAACAAAAAGAATAAAATACTTAGGAGTATATCTACCTAAAGAAACAAAAGACCTATACATAGAAAACTATAAAACACTGATGAAAGAAATCAAAGAGGACACAAACAGATGGAGAAATATACCGTGTTCATGGATTGGAAGAATCAATATTGTCAAAATGGCTATACTACCCAAAGTGATCTACAGATTCAATGCAATCCCTATCAAACTACCAACGATATTTTTCACAGAACTAGAACGAATAATTTCACAATTTGTATGGAAATACAAAAAACCTCGAATAGCCAAAGTAATCCTGAGAAAGAAGAATGGAACTGGAGGAATCAATCTGCCTGACTTCAGACTATACTACAAAGCCACAGTCATCAAGACAGTATGGTACTGGCACCAAGACAGAAATATAGATCAATGGAACAGAATAGAAAGCCCAGAGATAAATCCACGAACCTATGGTGACCTTATCTTAGACAAAGGAGGCAAGGATATACAATGGAAAAAAGACAACCTCTTTAACAAGTGGTGCTGGGAAAACTGGTCA